TTAATTTAATTCACTTACTTTCAATTATATAACATATAACAACCTGCATATGAAGCAAAATACCAAATGCACGTGAACCAAGCTATAAGCCTTAAAAACACTATGAAATGCTTCCTCTAATTAGATAACACATACACTAAGCTGAAACTTTTTTTTAAAAAAAGGCCAAAATTATCAAAAGCAAAGTTAAGAAATTATCATAATAACAAGGATTATAAAAGAGTTTGTGCCTAACTTAGTCTTACAAATCTTCAAGAAAGTATAAGAAAAGCTAAATACATCATCTTATAGGTGCTATTATTATTAGATAAAAAAATGCATACACATGGACTCTCTCTCTCACACACACATATATATATCCACAATAAAAACGTAAATTCAAATCTTACTATTTTGAATAAATTGATTTTTCTTTTGAACATGCTATGGTCACTTTTATACCTATGAAGAATGTTGATTGATGTTTATGTTTATTCTATTTGACAACCAACAAAATCACAAACAGAAAAAATGTCAAATCCATAAGTACGTGTAATACGCTAGTTAATTTCTATTCAAGTTTGTTGGTTAATGGTTAGACAGATTGGAAAGACTTCCATTCCATATAGAATCTAAATCCATAAAAATACACTTAAACAGAAACGCTAACTCTCAAACTTATCATCATTTATATTTTAATAAAGTTTCATATTTGACACTTATTAAACACATTAGACTCATGCATGTAAAAAATAAAATAAAATATAATTATGCTATCTATGTTTTGTATACAGATGATATGTTGATATTTGGAACTTACTTAAATGTTGTAAATGAAATTAAAAGATTTTTAATTTCCAAAGATAAAAGACTTAAGAGATGTTAATATGATTTTGAGAATTAAAGTAAAGAATACTAAAAATGGTTTCTTCCTGAATCAAGCTTACTATGTTGAAAAGCTATTAAGAAAACTTAGTAGTTATTGATGTAGTACTTATTACAACTCCTTATGATCATAATATTCATCTTAATAACAATACTAAAAATATGATTTCTCAATTTAAGTGTGTCAATATAATTGAAAGTGTTATATATTTTATGAATTGTACTTAGAGTACTTAATATTGCATATGCTTTGGGTATATAAAGAGGATCACATTCACAATCATAATAGTGATCATTTACTAAAGTACTTGAAAGTTACAATAAATTGTAGTCTTTTGAATTATTTTAAAAGATTTCTTTGATTCCAACTAAGCCTCAGTTAATAATGAGATAAAATTTATTAACAAATATATTTTTACTTTAGGAAGTGATGTTATCTCTTGAAAATCATCAAAGCAAGCATGTATGCTTAAGTATACAATAGAATCAAAATTTATAGCTCTTAAACTTATTAGGGGGAAGACCTACACCTCCTATATTTATGTAAGAGAAGAAACATATGCATGCAATACAATATTGTTGGACACCTAATAAAAAAAATAGTGTTATTTATTTGAGTATGTAAAATGTGAAAAAAAAATAAAACCTTATAAATTTTCTTACAAAGTTGTTATGAATACATTGAGCAATATGAGCTTGAAACCTTGGGTGAAGAAAAGTATGATAGATATCCATTATTGATCAAACAAAGTCATATAAATATTTCTATGCATTACATGTTTCATTCCTACGATGTGTAATAATGCTTGATGTAATGTTAAGTAATAAGCTATTGATAAATGCATAGCCCATTATTTGAGTAGTACTATAAAAGCATATTTTATGTATCTACCTAAGTGAGTGTGAAAGTATAAGCTACCTTTCATAAAAGGCTTAGACAAACTTTTTAGAGCTCTCATAATCAATCCAAAGTATATATAAAGACCTCAAATATTTATGTAAATATTTTATCGTCAAACTATTACAATTGTAAAAATATAATATGCACTGTGAAGATCTTATCTTAAGTCTATTAATTTTAAGAGAAATCCACTTCTTAGACATGGAGTATTGTATTTTTATCACTCTATATTAATTCAATTTAATGAAAATTTATACTTAAACACAAATCTCTTCTCTTGTCCCAAATACTTATCATTGACATTTGTAGAATGCATCTATGTGTTATTTATTTTTGTCCTTATCTCTTGTTTCAAGATAAAAGAATTATTTCCTAATTTACCATGAAGAAGAATCATTACTATAAAATCATATATTGATTATGTTAAAATACGTGACATTTATTATTATCATTATATCTTGTTTTGTGAACATTAGTTTTTTATAAAGTCTTTATGATATATTACCCTTTTTAAATGTATTTTTCTCATCCACAATAAAAAGGACGAAAAAATAAGCATTTGAAAAATTTTGTTCCTTATTATTATCCCTCAACTCTTAATTTTATCTTTCTTTTTTATACAATTAATGGTGAGGCTACATTATACTTGTAGCCTTATGTCCAGGCACACATCTGTGTTAGCCTTTGATAGCAAATCGAGTATCGAGTTGCATCGAGAATTCATCAAAATTTATTTTTTAGTACATCAACAATTACCACAACAAAACACTTATCTTCTTATTTTTCAATATTATTGATATTATTTTTTATTTTAAAACTAATAAATAATAAAATTAAATCAACCTTACAAATTGTCTTGCTTTTAAGAAAAGAATCTTCCACATCTTCAAATGATATTTTTATGATATTTTTTTGTTAAGTATGCAAGAAATAAATGGTATTGTTTCTTACATTGCATGAAAAAAACTTTGCAATCATGTATGTAAAGTTGCATAACACACCTAATGAAAAATTAGAAGGCACATTAATTAACAATATACTGATAGAAAGTAGGGCTGGGCATCAAGTTCGGGTGGGTTGGGACTTCAAAATTTAAAACCGAAGGAATCAAATTGATAAAAATTTATCACCGCTTCTATTTGAATCTTCTCTCGGGTTTAGTCAGTAACGGGTTGAATTAGCTGCGGGTTCAACGAGTGAATTCAAACAGGTTCTACCATTGATGAATATCATCGAGAGAAAGTTGGACCGTTGGAGGACAAAATTCCCAAAGGCGATAGAAGCAGTGATTGTTGCTCCTTCTAGGGAACTTGGAACGCAGATAGTGAGGGAGTTTGAGAAGGTACTAGGAATGGATAACGGAAAAGTGGTTTAGCAACTTGTGGGAGGTGCAAACCAATCCAAGCAGGAAGAAGCTCTCAAGAAGAATAAGCCTGTCATTGTTGTTGGCACGCCTAGTAGGATAGTGGAGCTCAGTGCAGACTTTGTTTTACAGCTTTACTATTGAAATTCAAGCCTCAGAACTTGTTTTACAACTTTACTATTGAAGTCCAAGTATACAAAAATTGTATTTTATAATACTTCAGTTAGATTCGGATTTCAATAAATTTAAAAATGTAAACTCTAAACTAAATTAATCCGCTTTTAACTGATTTTTTCAATTTATCAATTCATTACTGATCCAAATGAATCTTAAACTTATTTTTTAGTTATCGGATTCATCGGTTTTGGTCGGTTAATTTATTTTTTTTGCCCACCCCTAATAGAAACTATAAAATGAATGTAAAAAATAATTTTATTATATATTACTTCATTATAGTCATCCACAAAACAAAAGCATCCTCTAGCACCTACATAGAATTTGTATTTTTAACAATTTATATAATCACATACATGCATAACATACATCATTTTATTAAAAAAGAAAATTACAACTGTATAATTAGAAAATTGTTAGAGAAAACTATATGTAATAATAATAATGACTTTTAGAAAAAAAAATAATATCTACGTTGGCCTATTAATAAAAAGTAATTGCACCAAGTTGATTTACCAAATTGGCCCCACTAATGTATGCGGCAACTTATAGAAGATAAAAAAAAATGTAGTTATTAGGTGAGTATAATTTTATCATCTATACATATTATTCATCTCATAAGTAGGCGTTTTTAGTTCTTGTTTCTAAAACATGGTCTTTAAAGCATATACAAAACAAGTTAAATGGTATATTGTATTAAAATATATTAATGGTCAAAAAGTGAATTGAGGTGAATTGTTAGAATTTACGTAAAAATTAACGGATCAGAGTATAATTTACTCTAAAGTGGGAAAGAGTTTCTATCTTCCCTTTTGTGTGTGCATACTGGCAAAATAGGGCCCGATTTAATCAACTAGGCTATGTACAAGGAACCAATTCCTTTTTGCTTTGTACTATGGTATGGACATTTTACTATATATAAAGCTGATTGACCTTTTCTTGGCAAGAAAAAGAGAGCGAGAAAAATAAGACACAAAATTGACCTGCCAACCGTAAACAATAGATAGATTACCTGCAGCTAAGCATAACATGGCATGCCTTCATGACTTCATCAAACACCAGACAAGATTTGTTTTTCTATTTGGCTAATTTAAATTGTATTTTATCAACTTCATTACAAATATATATACACACACACACACACACGCATATATCAGTCCCGCAAGATTTTTATTTATTTGTTTGGCATTTTCGTTTTAACGAAAGTGAAAAATACATTAACCGTATGGTGAAGGTATGGGAGAGAATTCTGGCCCTATAATTTCCTCATGCTTTATTTTAATGAACAATGAAGTAAATTATCCAAGAAGTGAATAATTATTTTTTCACTGTATTTGTGCAACAGTCATATTGCGCTTGTGTATCCGAACTTTACAGGCTGTCTATATCACTTTCATTCCCGTTCTTTCTGTTCATGTTTCATATACTACGTCTCAAAATATTAAGGAGCAACATATTTTAACCCCCACCGTGCTTACCTAAGTAGGCATTAATTAGTCAACCGTTAGTTACTTCTATCTTACAGCACGACACACCACTCAATGTATGGTGCTCGACATGCTGGTGTACTTTACTTTCAACAAAAGCAACCTCAACACTTGCTCCAGTCACACCAAACCCAACCCCAAGAAAAACGTTCTATAGAGAATTTAGTACATGATCGAAGATTCTCTAGAGTAACTTCGTATACAATATTAACTTTCAAAATTGATCTCATCATATTGCAACCACTAAATGACAGTTATTACAAAAACTTATTAATATATGCAACTAAGCTTTCTTCTACTGTGCTGTCAGTCAACATTACATAAGATACAGATACCCACAATGTGGGGGAAAAATGAAAGAATTTGAATATGGCATGCGCCTTCTGTGGATTGGAAAGCAACATAACACAATCCCTGTGCCAGCTCTCCATACTTCGGCTGTTTTCCTCCAATTTCTGAGGAACATGTACAAGTTAAAATATTATCAGATTGGATCTCCCAACGGCTAGCCAATATGAAATCCTGATGACTTGAATGAACTGCTAGACAGATTTGGCAGTTTGAGAGTTGCAATAACACCACCCGCAAGTGCACAGAGGGAAGCCAAAGCAAAGGCTGGAATATTGCCACCACCAAAGAGAGCATCCCATGGGCCAGAACCAAGGGATATGATCATCTAAAGAAGCCAATAATAAATCAAAACAGCATTCAAAACATTTACAAGAAATTCAAACTTAAGAAAGTAAAATGTCTTATTCCACTAGAGTGAGAGATCCATTATGGCCAACAAATACCAAGACTGGGCTATAAGAAGTCACTGATTAACCACAGTGCCACTAGTTCCATCCAAATACCACAAATAATAATAATAATAATTAAAAAAAAAAAAAAACTAGTAGGAAATGAATGAAAAGAATAGTTTTGAAGAACAGAGGAAAAATTTGACCTGTGTTCCCTTCACCTTCTATTGTTTCTCAGTATTTTTTAATATACAATGTGGTTTTTCAGTTGTAATAAATATTAACTATCCAGTTCGAAAATGCATGGCAAAGGAATTTTATCCAAAAATAATAATAAGGAATAAGTTAGGGGAGAAAAATTGCACATCATCAGTATTGCAATATGGACACATACAGCAACAAAAACTTTATTCCATTAGGTTAAGTTGGTTACATGATTCATATGATGCCACTGGACTCGGTCAATATGAACAGACACACACCAATGATTGATAATAAAACAAAATAAAAACCAAGATAACTTTTTAACTCCAAAAGGATCTGTTCTCTAAGAAAGGGAGAGGAGCAGACAGCAATACTTGAGAAGAAAAAGTTACCTGAGGAACAACAATTGCAAGATTTAGAACTCCTATAGCCAATCCTGCATAACCATGCAAACATCTTGAAATAAGAAACTTTAAAGGACTAAAATTTAAGCATATCACATCATCTACAACAAATACCAACCTTGGCCACCACCTGAATCAGCAGTCAACTCTGCTGTGACAGCAAAGGGGACACTATAGGTAATCTGGCACAGAAACAAAGAAAATTTATCCAGTCATGAACTTCCATAGATATTTCATCGACAATAGTATGATTGCTTAAGAGGATTGGTAAGGAAAGGAATATGGAAATGCAACTAAATAGTTTAAATGCGGAAATGAAGCACTTCTTATACTTACCGCAAGAGGAAAACCAAGAAGAACGAACACAACCAAGGAAGCAATCTTAATTGCTTCACTTGCTCCAATTACGTGTTCTATCCCTCCAGAATAATCTCGAATGGAAATTAGACTAATGATAGCAGTGCCAGCCATGCAAATAAAGACAATAAAATTGCTCACTGCCCATACTAATTTTGCACCCATCCACTTACACATTGGTTCGATGAAAAAAGAGCTTATTCCAAGGACAACCTATCAAGCCATATAAAAGCAATGTCAGATTAAAAATTGTGGATGAAGAAGTCCAGAAAGTCTCATTTAATAAGTGCCTGATCATCATCAGTAAGGTTTTACACAAATCTCTTTAAAAAAATGTTTAATCTTGAGTTCTTACAGAATTCAATAGCAAACCAAATGCACCTTCTCTAACACCTTGATCATATAGATCTACTTCAGAAGTGTTCCCTTTTGGATCCCCATGATAAACTTCTCTCCCCATCCAATCCGTATCAAACAGAAAGAAGGGAAACCATGACAACTGCAGGTTGACATAGGGTTGAAGGAAACATATTTAGAATTTCAAATGGGAAGCACCAGCACAAGACTAATAGCATTCAAACTGACATGAAAACACAAAACCCTTTGCAAATAAATACTGAAGTACCTACCCAAGTGAGAGACATTACGACCAGCACTGAATGCATTGCAGGTGGCAAATGCCTCAAACTTGTCAACAAGTTTACCATTACTGCTCCAGGCCCATCCATTAAATTTTCAGCATGATCTTCTGCAGCTTCAAAATTCTCATGCTTCATCCCTACATCTTTCTCAATGTGATTCTCACTTATCTTACCATTGGATTCATTCATAACAGATAAATGCTTTGATTTTGAAAATTCAACGTCATTCTGTTGTTCATCCAATAAAGGCGCAGAATCTGACAAGCGATGATGTTGGCTCGCAGAAGTAAGTGGAACCTCATTAGCAAAATAAAGGGTTACAACAGTGCATAACGTCAGAAACACCTGCCAATATTTCATGATGAGATTCCTGCTATTATATAAATTAGTCATACATTAAAAACTGTATGTCTAACTCCGTGTGATTTAACTTGGCAGATCTGCCAATTGATAAGCTCAGGCCATAATGGCACTGCCTTTTCCAAATAGTTCTGCTATTTGCTTTTATTAAAGAGTACGGCAGGTAGAGATGATGTTGACCCACAAGATAATGCAGGTAGAGAAGAATCAGATGATGTTGCCTCACAAGACAATGCAGGTAAAAATGATAGTGTCCCAAAACATAATTAATAAAAACGAGTAGAAAAAACAACTAGAAAAACTGTAGAGTTTGTGTTTACTTTTCAATAATAGAAAAAATAGCCATTCTAAGATCAGTCCTGCTAATAATATCTGACAACATATACTAACAAGTAAAATATGAAGGTTCAATCAAAAGAATTTTTAGCAGTAACTTACCACAGCAACAAGAAATGCTGCCTTAAGATTGCCACAAGCTTCACAGCAAGCTCTATTTGTCAAGAAAGGGAACCATCTGTTTAGTTAAGAAAGGGACAAATATTATTCAGAAGGATGTATAGATAGAATAACTGTATAACACATATATAAAGCCAACACCAGTGTATTTCCAAAAGGCATGCAATGCTCACATAGATGATTTCATGGCAACAAAAACAATAACAGGCGCCAATTCCTAAACTTTGGATTTAGAGTAATCTATTTTTCAAAACCACATCTGAAATCCTTTGCATGAGCATTTCCACACCATTATTCCTATCTCTGGCTACATTCTGCCATGAATCCATATAATCCTTTGGCAGAAGTGTAAAAACAATCATTCTCCCTTGTCTTGTTTCCAATTATTGATTTGTTAAGAACATATTTCATAGATTGGTGACAGAATACATGAGCAATGGATTTTACATAGTTAGCGATGTATCAAAACTAGAAATAAACACAAAATATGGGCAACGTCTCACTTGTTCCACTTTCCACTAGCACCAGAAGAATATCCTAGGATGTTTCCAACTGCCATCCATGAGCAAAACACAGCATTTGCGACATTGCGTTGATCAGGACCTAAATAGAAGAAAATTATTGTACCATGATATCTCCTCAGTCCTCACTACCAAATAGGTAATTAATATGACATGAAAATCAATAATCCACAATGTGGTTGTTGAGAACAAGATAAGCAAGCTTTACCAGACAGATCAGCCAAAAGAGCTCGAGCTGGGCCCTACAGATTAAATTTGAAAAAATAAAGGGACACTTAGTTTACTGCTGTGCAACTGTGAAAATACAAAAATAAAATAACAGAACAACATGTTGATTGTTTAGCAAACTTACCTGTACTGTGTTGTTGGCAAGGTCCAGCATCCAGAAGCCAAGAATAAATACAAGAGCAGCCCTTGTTCGAGTTCCTTTAAATGTTCTAAAATTTTAGGCAGATGAATTTCATTAATATCTAAGTTCATATATTGATACATAAAAAGTAGAAGAAATAAATGAGTATGAAAAGAACAAAAGGATGATAGCAGAAACCTGCAATGCTCATTCGTATCACCTAATACATATCCAATGTCTGCAGAAAACCCGATCAATATCACCTAAATTAAAAGACTTAGTTTAGCCTGTATATAATATTGTAGTGTAAAAAATTATGTAGAAATAAACAATCAGTGTCACCAATGCTTACAGCCACAGATATCATAAGAGATCCAGCCAGAATGAAAGGACGCCTTCTGCCAAACTTTGAAGTACATTTATCACTCCAAATACCAACGCATGGTTGAACCTGAAGAAAAGTTGAGACAAACATGTGACTCACTAGCTTAAAATCAACAAGAATAAAGCATAAATTTGTTTGGAGCACACCATCTACGTTCCACAAGCAGTTTTTTGCAATGCAAATAAAGAACAAGTCAGTTCTAAAGCACAACATGCAAGGATGAAGCAGCAAGAGGCAAACATGAATTTATAAACAGTTGCACATACATGAATATTGATCAGAAAATAGATAAATAAGTCATTAATATTATTACAGAACAATTAAAACTAAGGGGAAAAAAGGAGAAAAAGACTTGAATATGTTCAATGGAGCAGTAAGAAGAACCACTGCAGTCAAAATGGCGAGAACAAGCATGAAATGAATTTCAAAGACAATGACAACTGCAATCAAAGATTAAAGGAACACTATCACCTACCACAAGACCTGTAATGGGGCCACAAAGCCAAATAAATGACGAAAACGCATGTCCAATTCCCAACGTCTGCATCAAAAGGTAACAGGTACATAGTGAATCGCAAAGTTGAATACAATGATAAACACAAATACACAAATTAAACATAGAAAATTGAATAATTAAAAGCAAAGAAAGATCTTATAGGAACCAAAATTCGTAACAAATACAAATTCTGAACAATCTGCTATCAGCCACGAGTGAGATGAAAAAATTGAAGTGAGACACGGAAAGGTAAATTCCAGTGCCAAATGAAATCTAACAAAGCTTTCATCGATAACAAATCAACAATCAGATTGCAATAACAAACAAAATGCGCAACCGGAAACAAAAGGATCTGATCAAACACACAACCGCAAACCTCAAAACATAAAAAAGACGACAATTGATTTGAAAAATAGAGGAACCTGAATGTAAGGTGTCAAAAGAGAAAGCTGCAAGGCCCAACCGAATTGAACACCGGCGGCGACAGTGCAACTGAGAATGAGTTTGACCAAGGAAGCGTTGGTCGTCGGCGAGGGAGAGTGATTGGACGACTGCGAATTGAGGTCGATCCGGCGACCGCGGGGGTCGACGTCGACGAGTTCAACTTCGGGAGCAGACGAATCGTCCCTGAGGTTCTTGTAGGGAACACGGATCGACATTGACTCACACTTCCCCGCCATCGCCACGCGCTGCCGGACATTCAAGCGTATCCAGTTCCCAAATGGTGAGAGAACCAGGAGTTCTAGGTTTTCCTTTTTGCAGGGAAATGGAATCGTTGATCGAAGAGAGAGAGAGTGTGAGAGAGAGGTCAAAGAATTTAGGCGGGTGAAGAAGAAGAAGAAGAAGAGAATGAAATGGAGACTACCATGGTCGCAAGCGATATCTGCTACGTTGCAGCAGCGTCAAGGATGGTACCTCGCCTCCTACTTCCACTGCCACGTGGCAACCTCGAACTGCGTGTGGGTCCATCGCTTACTAGAGGTTACCCCTTCTTTGGTGAAACTAAACTCGTTTCGTTAAAATTGGATCCCAACGTTAAACCAACCATTTTGATAAATGACCATTGAATAAGAGAATTAATCTTTTAGAAGTAATTCTAAGTACTACAATATAAAATGTAATAGAAGTTTTTTTCATTTGAGTTTAATTTTTCTGTAATTTCTGTTAATTAATTAAAATAAATTATAAATATTATTCAAAAAAATAAAATAAATTATAAATATAATTTTTATATTAATTATTACATAAATTACGAATCATTACTGATATATCAATCTATAATTAAATAACTGTTAACATTGTCAGTATATTTAAATTACTTTTTGTATCTATACTTACTGTTACATTAGGTGTGATTTTAATATTTTAAGTTAATTTGAAATTAAATAAATTTATTTTTTAATAATTTTTAATCTAAAATCATCAAAATCTTATTTATTATCAAAAAATCAAAATACACGGATCGATTGATACTTTGTCTAGGTTATTATTCCTGACCCCAAATTAGAATTTGACGGGAAAAAAGTGGTTACCCTAGTCTTCAAAATCCACCAGTGGGGCCTATTTTTATAACTGTACTCACGAGTACACCGAATTTTCCACCCAAAGGTAAGTGATCCTGCAGTGAAGATGATCTTCGATTGAATTAGGACCCTAAGATTTGAAGATTTGGAGCTTTTGGAGTATACACGGCTAGGATTCAATATATTTAATATACTTTTTACAAAATTAAGAAAATATTTTTTATGAGATAGTATATTAAAAACTTTTATTATGTTTTTAATGCTTTTTTATTTTTTTTCAGAAAAAATTATGTTTTTAAGTCAATGTCTTACTTCTTAAGGCACTAATAACAAAAAGCAAAAAGTAAAAGAACGAAAAATCACAAAGGAAAGAATTTTTCATTTTTTGTTGAAGATCTTTTAACATATTTTTATTATTAAAGTTTTCTGACCTTATAACAATTAATATAATTTAGTTAAAATATTTTAGTTAAAAAGAACACAAAAAAATTACGTGAATTTTATCAAATTATGTTAAAATAATATAGTATCAATTGTTAATATTTTCCTTAAAAATGAATTATAGTCGTCGCCGACATTGTGGACCTTTGGTGGCGGACATGTCTGGAAGTGCAATGGTGACTCGGTGAGTGGACGCTTGCTAAGTCAGCTGACTCGGCTCGGACGGTACTATCTGACCCGACTCAAAAAGTTTATTAAAGAGATATTATTTTTAAAAATTATTAGTTAAAAATGTATACCTTTTATTTTTAAATTAATTAAACATATTATGAAACTGAAAGAAAAAATATTCTAATTTATTTTAAAATAATATACTTAGAAAAACACATTTTTCATACAACATGATCATGCAAATAACATAATAAAATTAAGTAAATATCTATTTTAATCCTTAAAATTGTAAACATGAATTAACTTGGATGCTTAACTTTATAAATATTTCCCTCTAATCTTACAAATTTTCTCACTTATTTTAAATTTTTTTTTACTTTGTTTTTATCGTCATTTTATATGTATGCAAAATAAATATGTAAAGCTAGAGACCAAAGTGATTTTTTTATAAAGTCAATAATTAAAATGATCGATATTTACAATTTATAGTCTAATTAAATATAATATACTTATATGATTTAAAATGTAATCATATCTGAGGAAAGTGTTAAACTTAACGCAAACATTATTGGAATTTTAAGTTTCGTAGTTCAAGCGAAATAGATAGATGAAGAGGTTTTCTACACGTTGATAACCAGGCAATTGAATCTTCTTGTTATTCTGGCGCAGAAATTTGACCCAAATTACAAGGACAGAAAACTAAATTTAGCCATAGATATTATTACTTCAATTGTAGTTAGGTAAAATTCTCTTAGTAGAGATGACAAATATTACAAGTTTAAAAAAAAAAAAAAAAGAAAGAAAGATATCCATGAGGTTAGCATAAAAAAGGACCATAAAAAGAGGCAAGGCTATAAAAAGCAGGTAGTAAGGGTGCTTTACATTTAGGGACGAGTTTGAAACGTAGCATGGTGAGAAGACAAAAAAGCCAATTATATTGCAATATTGCCATACTGCATCAGCCATTTGTGTAGAGTTTGTAAAATTGATCATGCACATCCTAACAATAATGACATTTAGTATTATGTTATTCACAAAGAAGCGTTGTACCAATGTTCTATACTTTTATACCTATAAACTCCTGATATACATACACCAGGTGTCCTGAAGATATAAAAGTACTACTAAAATAGGAACAACAAATGCTTTTTAGGAAAAGGCAGACAGATATACAAGAAAAGAGACTTGACTTGTGCCAATGCCTCACTGCTTAGCACTGCGATTGCCCAAATCAGCAGCAGCCTGTGCCGCCCGCGTTAGAGCACCTGACACCCACAAGGCACCCTTTGAAAAATAGCTACTATTCACCACAGTGTTTGCAGCTGCTGCTACTGATCTTCCGGTTGCGGATGCAGCTGACTTGGCAGTGACAGAAACATTATACCTTTCATCCACGGATTTAACCGCTTCAACGCCAGCAGATATCTTATCAGTGAGGCCAATTCTCTGGCTCAGTTCAGCAACCTTCGCTGTTGCAGTGGCAGAAACTTGATGAGACTCGTCGAAGTCTTTAGCCTTAGCTAATGCATCCTTGCTGAGAACATATCCCTTTGCCAGCATGGTCTTGACAACTTCTTGAGCCACAGTAACTGCTTCTCCAGCAGAGGAAACAAATTGACTGCTGTGTAGAGTCTGAAAGAGGACATCTGAGATCATGAGCTGAAAACCATAATAACCATTAGCAGTTTAGAAAAAATGAAACGAATACAGTTACATACAGTTGAAGCGGTATCCTCCTCAGGCCCATAGGAGGGTCGGTTCCAAAAGTCAAATTCATCTTCATACTGCCCCCAGCGAGTTATGCATACACGATGATCTAAAATAGTGGCTCCCTAACAACAGAACAGATTGTGAAGAAAGGTATAAATAAAGTATCAAAGGTTATCATATGATTTAGTTGCATAAAATCAAAGATCTAATCAGTAACCAGCTGCCAGAATCAGTACTCACACTGAGCAAGCAAGCAGTTTCTTGAGAATAAGCATCTTTGAATGTTACATAAGCAGTACAGGCACTATCACCAGACCTGTCTCAAACAATAACCAAGTGTCATATCAATTCTACACCTGTTTAAAGTCAACAAAATATCTCCAAAACATCAATACTATATCTGGAGACTACAAATAATTTAGTTTCGACTACTCTTCAGGCTTTGACAATGATAAGTCCTCCACTAGCTGCTGGGAAAAAAAATAATCCCCCTTCAGAAAAGCTTAATAGATCTTGTGTGTACCAACTCAAATATGCCCAGCATATGAAAAGAATATATTATAGGAAAAGGAAGAGTGGGCCAGTTAATGTTAAGGTCTGTTAGGAACTAGATATTAGACTGCAGAATTAATTGAAAAAGTCTGGGAATGGTTATATTATTTAACGTAAAGGAAAGCAATACAGGAGGAAATAAACAACCCCACTGCCACAGAGCACCGCTTCTACAGAGAGACTACAGCTCCCTGTCCATAGCAGAATTTCCCTATCCAAAAAAGTAATCTCTCTCTCCCCTCTTCATTCCTATATTCCCCCAAATCTTTATTCCCCCTTGTTTGGCAATTCTGTTACAACTTCTGCCACCTCATCTTTTCTATTCTTAGCCCGGTTTCTCCTAACATACATCCTCCATGCCTTGGGCCTTTCCTCACGACCCAAGCCCACATGTCCACTCCTATCAATGCTTCCTTCTTCAAAATGAGACTTGTCCTCAAGTCTCAAATGAGGGAACTGACTTTTGATGTTGAACTCTTCTTCCCATGTTGCTTCTTCCATACCTTGTCCCTTCCAAAGTATCAATACTTGACTGACATTTACTCCCTGTTTCTTAATAACACGTTTAGCAAGCACTGTCTCAGGTTCAGGCGGAATTTCAGAATCTGTAGCCAAATCCAATGGAAATGTCTCCTCAATATTGTAATCACCCATAGCCTTTTTGAGGAGTGAGACATGAAAAACAGGGTGTATCCTTGTTGACTCAGGTAACTGCAATTTGTATGCTACAGCTCCCACTCTTGTCAAAATCTTGAAAGGACCATAGTACCGAGGGGCTAATTTGGGGTGAATCCTAGCTCCCAGAGTCAATTGACCATGAGGCCTCAATTTTAGGAAGACACACTCTCTTACTTCAAACTGCTTGTCTTGCCTTTTATGATCTACTTGACCCTTCATGCGAGTTTGAGCTCTTTGTAATTGGTATTTCAATTGTTTGAGAGCATTATCTCTTTCTAAGAGCTCTCTACAAACAGCTTTGACTCACACTTCTCCTGATAAAAATCTGGTTAGCAGCGGAGGTTTCCTTCCATAAACCTCCTCAAAAGGAGTGGTCCTAATAGATGCATGAAAGTTGGTATTATACCAATATTCTGCCCAAGATAGCCATTCTGCCCACAGTTTTGGTTGATCAGCTATGAAACATCTCAGAAATGTCTCCAGACAACGATTAACCACCTCTGTTTGGCCATCCGTTTGTGAGTGATAGGTTGTACTCATCTTGAGGTGAGTCCCTTGCAACTTAAACAGTTCCTTCCAAAAAGCACTTACAAAAATAGGGTCCCTGTCACTGATTATGGAGGCTGGAATACCATGCAAACGAACTACTTCACGTGTAAAAATTTCGGCCAACACCCTGCAAAATAAGGATGTTTCAAAGGTATGAAATAGCTGTACTTGGACAGCCTGTCCACCACTACCAAGATAGCATCATATCCCTTAGAATTAGGTAATCCCGTGATGAAATCCATAGAAATCTCTTCCCATATTTGTTCTGGAATGTTTAACGGTTGAAGCAGACCACCAGGGGCTATAGCAAGATATTTTTGACGTTGACACACATCACATCCCATAACAAATTGTTGAACAGTTCTCTTCATTCCGAACCAAAACAGATTGGCAGCCATCCTCCTATATGTCCTATAATACCCCGAATGTCCTCCTTGTGGAGTTTCATGAAATTCCTTTAACATCTTAGGAATATAAGCAGAGGTTGCTGACAACACCAACCTTCCATCATAGAACAAAGTCTCCTGTTTATATATAAACCTTGGCCTAGTTTCCTGACCTTTCTAGAAGGCGGAAATAATAGAGAGCAATTTCTCATCACAGTGGACCTCTTGCATAGCCTCTTGAATTTCTGTCCATCTTGGTTGATGAATCATATAGTGAAGTTCAGTATCCCCGTACATTCTGGATAAAGCATCAGCCCCGCGGTTCTCCAACCCTGGTTTATACTCAATATCAAACCAATACCCCAATAACTTTGCTGCCCAATTTTGCTGATTCATATTAGTCACCCTATGTAGGAGCAACTGCCTCAAACTCTTCTGATCAGTTCTCACTATAAACTTCCTCCCTAACAAGTAGGGTCTCTAATGCTGAATAGCCAGTACCACCGCCATTAATTCCTTTTCGTAGGCTGATTTAGTTAAGTTCCTATCCCCTAATGCCTTACTATAGTAAGCTAGGGGTCTGCCATTCTGAGTGAGGATTGCTCCTATTCCTTGTTCGAACACATCACTCTCTATTACAAACTCCTGTTAAAAATTGGAAAGGGCCAGCACAGGGACAGTGATGAGTTGCTGTTTAAGCCACTCAAATGCTTCTTGTGCTTGAGGTTTCCATGTGAAACCCTCTTTCTTGGTCAATTCAGTCAAAGGTCTGGCCCGTTTCCCATAGTCTCGGATAAATTTGCAATAATATCCAGTTAATCCGAGAAAACCCCTCACTCCTTTAACATTCTTTGGGACAGGCCAGTCTTTTACACTCTTCACCTTCTTAGGGTCCACCATCACCCCATTCTTAGAAATGATATGCCCCAAATACTCCACCTCTATTTGTCCAAAAGAGCACTTCTTTTGGTTTGCTACTAACTGATGCCGTTGCAGTGTCTCTAATACTTCACATAGATGTGTGACATGTTCCTCCCAACTGGTGCTATACACCAGCATATCGTCAAAAAACACAAGCACAGTTTTCCTCAACATGGGTTTGAATATTTCATTCATTAATAATTGAAATGTAGAGAGCGCATTTATCAGACCAAAAGGCATTACCATATATTCGTAGTGGCCTTCATGTGTGCGAAATCCCGTCTTATGAACATCAGTCTCCTTGACTCGAACTTGGTGATTTCCAGACCTGAGGTCAAGCTTAGAGAAAAATTGTGCCCCATACAACTCATCTAGCAATTCTTCAATTACTGAAATAAGGAACTTATCAGGAATCGTCACCTTATTCAAAACCCGATAATCCACACACATTCGCTAAGTATTATCCTTCTTTTTTACCAAAATGACGGGGCTGGAAAATGCACTTTGACTTGGCCTAATTATCCCCGCTTGTAACAATTCCTTCACTTGATTCTCAATTTCGTCTTTTATGGTGGTGTGGGTAACGGTATGGCCTCACATTTACTGGTCCTTGTCCTTCTACCAAGTTAATAGCATGCTCCTTACTTCTCTTAGGGGGCAGTCTTGTGAGTTCCTTGAACACCTTACTGAAATTTTCTAGCATCTCCTTCAGCTCCTCTTCGTGATCATACAAGTCTGTCTTATGTACTTTCACCCCAGTCAACCAAAGTACACCCTCTATCTCACTTTTACAGCAACCCAAACAAGGTTTGTAGAGCTGTTTGTTTATCACCATGCCTCCCTTCACCCTGAATCAGTACCCATTTGTCATCTATTTGAAATTGCATAATCTACTCACCCTAGTCTACCACCATTTGTCCTAAGGATGCCAACCAAGCCATCCCCAAAATCAAATCCAGTCCCTCCAGTTCAAACACCACTAAATCTACAATGAAAGACAAAGTCCCAATCTTCAAATCTCCCCCCTAACACATACCTTGAGTTTGTGCCACGTAACCATCTCCAAGCCTAATGTTTAGAGCTTTCGTGGTTGTAACTGGCCAGCCCATTGCATGCACCATCTTTCTAGAAACAAAATTGTGTGTGGCCCCACTGTCAATCAATACTAAAATAGGGACCCCGTTGAGACGAGTCTGAACCTTCATGGTTTAGTGCCTCGGTTCCTTCACCACCACAGTGTTTCCTAGCGATAGCATGCTACACTCTCTGCTCTCCTCTTCTGCCTCACCCTCGTCCGTTACAGTAACCATCTTTGCCTCCCCGTCGGCTTCCTCTTCTTCCTCTATTAGCAACACCCGCAACTGCCTATCGAGACATTGATGGTTAGGGTGGTAAGGCCCACCACACTTGTAGCATAATCCCTTTCGCCTTCGCTCTGTTAGTTCTTGGTAGGATAGGTGCCGCACTCCTCGATCTCTCGAAATAGGACGGGGTTGTCCTGTAAACTCTGATTTGAATCCCGCCTCAGCATTTCTTGCCCTAGGTAATTTCATTTGACCATAATCTGACCCTGACCCACGACCCGGTTTAGATGTGGAATAAAAAGATGGGCCAGCCTGATTCACTTGGCCCACTCCAAATCCCACTCTTGACCCAACAGCACGCGATACTCCTTTTCTCTCTTGCAATTCCATCTCAATTGCCCTTGCTAAATTCATCATCCGTGATCATGATAGAGGTCCCAACGTGCGTAAGCTTCGTACATGCCCTTTGATTCCCTCTTTCAATCCATGAACAAAGTATCCAAAATATTGATCATCGGGTAAACGTGGAACCTAGGCTGAGACGTTCAAATTCTGTGATATATTCCTCGACACTTCCATTGATAGAGCCCAGTTTCAGATTGGTCCTATTGAACCATTGGCTCATGAGACAAAGTCATTCCCTAAGAAATTGTTAGTATATTCACGGAAGAAAAGAAAAGGAGCTGACGTGGCATGAGAGAAGGGGGTGCAGGCAGTTAGAGGAGAGAGAGTGAGATATCTTTCTGTTATTTAGGGAATGATGAGGTGCTGAGGAGGGTGTGCTGTTTTTCTGATATTTTGGGTAGAGGAAACTTAGTGGTTTCTCTATTAGGAGCATTGCTCTGGACAGTAAGGAGTCGTCCTTCTTGCTGTATTTCTTCTTTTGTCATTAATACAGGATCAAAGTCTATTTTCTTCTTCAATTCTCTATTTCACTTTTATATTTGTTGCATGAGAACGTATTATCCATCCTGATGGATCGCAGCCAACCTTTCAAAAATATCCCCTTCACCTATGCCGCCATACCGCTCCAATAGTTCCCTCTTGAACTGCTCCCATGTCAGACTGTTTTGTTCATCCAAAAGGGACTTGAAAAAATGAATTGTAGACCCCTCCATACAAACTTGGGCTAGATTCACCTTCACTTCCAATGGCGTACCTTGGACCTGAAAATACACTTCTGCTCTCACAATCCACCCTACAGGATCCTCCCCGTCAAACATTGGCAGTTCGACCTTCTTAACCGACTGACAAAATTCGGTCCATGGATCATCACAACGGTGTGAAGATTCTCAGTTAGAAGATCCTTCTCCGTTCAAAATGATGCTAGAGTTAGAGAACATCTCTATTAGTTTTGCATGGTTTTTGTCAGACTTGAGCTGCATGGTTTGTAAAGCTGATTTGAGACTAGCGACTTCCATCTCTAGAGCTACAATCTTCACTTCCATTTTCTTTGGTGGCATCCGCTGGTACTACTCTCCTCACTTTTGAATTCGGCAAGTCGGACCAAATTGTTAGGAACCAGATATTAGACTGCAGAATTAATTGAAAAAGTCTGGGAATGGTTATATTATTTAATGTAAAGGAAAGCAATACAGGAGGAAATAAACAACCCCACTGCCACAGAGCACCGCTCCTACAGAGAGACTATAGCTCCCTGTCCATAACAGAATTTCCCTATTCAAAAAAGTAATCTCTCTCTCCCCTCTTCATTCCCTATATTCCCCCAAATCTTCATTCCCCCTTGTTTGGCAATTCTGTTACAACTTCTGCCACCTCATCTTTTCTATTCTTAGCAGCGCGGGTGGGGACACTGGCATTGCAGTGTTCACCCAAAACTAGTCAAAGGGGCTAGTGCACAATTACAAGGTATGAAGCCTGAGTCCCACATTGGAAGTATTGGATTCTAATTTGGGGTTTATAAGGTCCTGAGCTCTCTAAGTACAATAGCTAGCTTTTGTGGTGTGGTTCTCCCAAGGCTCTCATTAGAATGAAACTAAGTTCCACAAAGAAAGCCCCCACACAACCAACGTAAACCATGATTTTCAGCCAGTACATTAAATAGCAGTAACTATTTTTCACACGTTAGTTTACTGCAGCATTCACCATTTCATTGTGTTCTACTATGCCCATGGAATGTGCACTAGTAGAACATAAGAATATATTTTTTTGGCAATTTGATATAATACTTTTTTCTTCATATATTGCAAAAAAAACTTTGTATAGAACAGCTTCTTTTGATTAAAAAAAATGACTATTTCAGTTAAGGGTCTCAAGTACTGAAATTGAAGAGTGCATAAATTTTGAGTTCAGTTGTGACATATGAAATATTAAATTCTGATTTCCAACTTTGAAACAAGAAGATACATAGGATCAACAAGTGAAGCCCAAAAATACAAAAATAGTAACAATGAAACATCAATAACTAGCCCATGCATATCCTTCAAAACCAAAATGAAGTCTAGCATCTAATGCTTACCTGACAATTTCAACGTACTCAATTGCACCAGAGAAAGCAAAAAAGTCATACACATCCTTCTCAGTGGCTTTAGGTGATAATCCTGTAACTTCTATAGTATATCCACCAGAATTCATTTTTCTTGGGTGCTAATTCCTTATACTGTGACAAATGGTAAAAAAGTAAATCCAAGTCAGAAAGGATATGATTAACAAGCTAAGTGTGCAAGTAAATGGAACTTAGAAAAGAAACATGTACATTTTGAACTTTCCAACAGTGGCAATCGGACATATTCATCATATATTTTGAACTTTCCAACATTTATCCAACAGTGGCAATCAGACATATTCATCATACAACATTGACAAACAAGATTAGTAAATCATGTCAATCGTCAGTCATGCACATGTAATAAGAGATCTGGATCTGGAAACGATCATAAAAAATAATCCTACATACCAGAGATAAGAGAAAATCTAAGGTGGAAATAGGACTTTATTCATGCAAAAAGAAGGATTGAAAGTCACATCATTGCCCTGAATTTGGACTTTCTAATTTTGTGGCAGGAAAAGTCACTGACTTTGGGAAAATTTAGGTCATTGATTTCAGAATTAATGGTCAAGATTTTATCATACTTATTTTATTAAAAAAAATATCCTAAACACATGATGAAATCTTGGCCAATAAATTTAAAACCAATGACTCAAATTCAGTCAAAAATAGTGACTTTTCCCGCTACAAAGTCAGATCCTCATTGCCCCCGGCAAACAAATCTTTCACTCAAATATTTGACATTCCACCGGCATTGCAACCAGAAATAGTTTATTTAAAAAAAATATAAAAAAAACAGCACCATCTTTCCATTATCTGCACTGCATCACATTCTTGCAGCCACTACCCTGATCACCCTATCAGGACATCACCATTGCATCTAACACTAGACGGTAGTTCTTTCCAGTTGCCACCATAATCAGCCACCAACTATGCCACCTTCCTCTTCAACGCACCACTTTCAACACCTTGACCTTACCACATCAAATTTATCAATCACAACCTATCTCCTTCTCCACCACCATGACCAATCACAATTACACCTTTTCAAACACAATTGTCATCGTAGTGACCGGGGCGGCACCATTGAATCCAAGAATGCCTATTTCTTCAGACCTAAAAATTCCTCTGTTAAAATTCCAATATTACATTTCCAGAGGTTAATTCCCAATTCTCTAACTGATAGGATTCATCATTAAAAAAGGAATCAGAATGTAAAATAAGAAAATAAAAAAAAGCTAAACATGATTAAATTCACAAGTTCAAATTGCAATACGGTGAAGATTTCAGTTTTCAAGCATTCCACCATTCCATCACTATCATTTGTGTCCCTAAAAAATACCCCTTGCATTCAATTTCCACTCCTCTTATCAGACTACAACCCCCCCTCCCAATCAAAAAATGAATAAATAGAAAGAGGTACATCAAAGACCCAATTCTATTAAACAAAAATTTTGCTTTACTTTTCAATTAGATACAAAACCCAGAATTTTAGATACCGAAATGAGAAAGTAACCAATCCAAAAAGAGAGAGTAAAAGAAGGAATGAGATTGGAGTATGTACCAGTTGGGAATTGAGACAGAAGAAAGCGACTTCACGATGCAGAGGAAGCGATGCTGTTAACTGTGCCGCACCCACCCTCGCCAATGTGAACCCATTTTCGGTTTTTAAGTATTACTGTGTTCCACCTTGGGTCCTAACAAACTCGAAAGTATTTATCCATATACTGACAAAAATGTTTACATTTGAATTTAAGGTATGCATATAACAAAATACAAAAATAGAGTAAATAGTCGGTTTAATTTCTTAATTTATATAATCACTTGAATTTTGGTTTTAGAAATATTTTTTTATTTTTTTAAGAGTTACACATTTTAATTTTTTTTACTTCAATTTTTATTATTTTATATAAAAAAGAATTAAAATGAAATCTGATAAAATTAAGAGCTAAAAAGCTTATATATCGAGAAATGAGTATTGACTATAAAAATAAGTAATAGATAATTATGTTTTTGCTAGATTTAAGTTGATGTTCTCTCTAATTTTGATTAATTATATTTTATTTTTATAATGTTAAATTATTTAAATTAATTTGTATTAAAAATTTTATTTATTTATAAAAATATAATTGATGTGTGATATGTTGTTAATTTATAAAGAAACATATATAAATATTAAATTAAAATAAAATTTGATTTTCATTGCAGTTTTATTTAAATATTTTATATGGTTTTTCATTATTAATTTTTACAAGTCAATAATACATTATATTTTTATTAATCATGTGATAAAAATTTAAAAGTAAAATTTCAATATGAATAATTAAAAATTAATAAGTACTTAATGAAAGCAATTAAAATAAGAAACTAAAATTGCATGAACGATAAAATATAAAAACTAAAAGTATAATTAAGCTTGAAAGTAATTAAATATAATATCACATATGTTGTTAATTTTTGTTGTTCAAATAATAGAACATGTACTCATGTATTCATATTCACATTATAAGGTAGTATGATAATTTATTTATTTATTTATGCTATACAATGGAATTAAAAGTCCAAAGAACCAAAAAACTAGGGAAAAGTCTTATCAGACCAGCTACAGCTAGCATTTAAACAAAAAAAAGAAAGTAACACATGGAACAGAATCAAAACAAGAGAAAGGTAAAAAATTCTCTAGGCTTACCTTAGCCATTCTATATGCATAAGAGTTACCTTCCCTAAAAATATGGACAAATTTTTATGAATTTAATGGGTTTTATCAAATTCTTAAAATTAGTAATCAAGGCAATTAGGGGGTGATTAGGATGTTGAACTTGCAGAACCAGAAACAAGACTTCTTTAGAATCACTCTCCACCCATATAGAATTAATCTTTTTTAGATACTGATTGAAGATTAAAAAAATAAGCCCTAGAGTTTAGCAACAAGAGGGGAACATCTATCTAATTTGCTACAAAAACCAGAGATAAATCTTCCATTAGTGTCCCGAATTACCCTACCACAAGTAGCTTTATCAAAGAAAAGGGATACAACACCATCAACATTGAGGTTCAACTGGCCAAGAGGGAGAGGAATCCATTTAACTCTCACTTGATCCTTAACAATTATAGGCAAAGGCCTAATCGCCTTGCAATAATTAAACCAAAAATAGAATCACATAGAATTTTGTAAATTATTTGATAGGAAGGAAAAGAAAGAGATTGGAAAATAAAGAAATTCCTATCTTTCTATAAATGTCAAGTTATGGTACCAAATAAATTAGGCCAATTAGTAAAATTACTAAGTTTGTTCTAAGTTAAATTAGGAAGTAACTAATCCATAATACCTAAATTGTAAAATTGAACCTATTGGTTAAGAAAAAGAAAACGGTCTTAGACTGTAACACCTTAAATTAAATTTTTAATTAAATAATAATTTCACAAATTTGAATAATCAAATTTTCATAAGAGAAGGGTTACATATTAATATCAAATAATTGCTATAGGACTAGTTCAATTACAACATTTTCAAAATAAAATTTAAGTCCTATAGCAGTCCATCCGTCCCTTCACTGAGACTGGTACTGATCGTCTTGATTACCTGAAAAATGAATGTAAGGGTGAGTACTCTACACTACTCAATATACGACTATCATAGAGTCTCACCTTGCTTATATTTCACGCAAAGTACACATAAACAACATTTTTATTTCAATTTGACACCGATGCATTCATGGCACCAAACAATCATACATATATGAAATTAACAAACAATAGTCCTACATACTCATTGCACACCAGCCACTCTCACTGTGGCACTGTGATCACAGATTCATACCATGAATGGTCGCCGGTTGCCCCCGCCTCACGGATACTACATGGGTAGTCACGGATCGCTCAACAAAAGTAATGGTCAGAGGTCTAGTCAGAAAGAGAGCGTGTGACCCGTAGTGTAACTACCCGGCAACTTATTCGGGACTGACGACTATCCCTACAAACCAACACGAGACTTTTCAGTGTGCTTTGTCCTTTCTCGCACACTTCTCGAGAACTTCCCAGAAGGTCACCCATCCCATAATGAGTTCTTAAGTGATAGGCCACCGAAAAGTAAATGCATTTTATTGGTATAGGTAGTCCTAATCAATTCCTTTAAGTTATCCTCAAATGACTACTCTCATACCTGCACAGCCTTTGGATCCCTCTTATTCTGGTATAAGTTCGATTCATTCATGTGCCCCTTATCGCCGGAAGCCTGTCAGGTAGCCGCTCCTTGTCCGTGCCACATTGCACCGACGATCACTCCCTGCCCTCACCTAGCGTTTGGGTGTCACACGTGATGCACCTATTCCACAGTCGATGTCACCACCACTTTCCCTTCCCCGAGATATTTCTACCATCCTCATCTTTCACACCCTTACTGTATCGTTGAACCATTTATAATACATTACAATTGTGCTAACATGCCCATTCACACATATTCCATTCACGCATATAAGAATCATGCTTACACACGGCACACAGCCCATATTGCATTCAAATACATGGCACTAAACCCATACTCATTTCATATTACACGGCACATAGCCAATATTTATCTATATTACACGGCTCTCGGGCTTACATTTGTTCACAATATTTGTTCTATCATGCAACATCTAGCATACAATTCACATTCATCAATTTCGGGTAAACACACACAATATTCACATCTCACGGCACATGACCCTCATCATATTTCTCAACAATTTTCTACCCTCTAACTTAGTTACATCACAATATTCAACAATTAACAGCAAATCATACATAATAGAGTAGGATAAAGTCCCCCCTTACCTTGGATTGAAGACCCACACTCAAATTCAACCTTGGAAATGCTCTCCACACAAATTTCGGCCTAACCACATGGAAGAACTCCATAAGAACTCAAGGAAACCACAAAAATAGAAAATGGGGTTGAAAAACAGAAACCCTAATCATTAAAACTCACCCCTAAGCGTTTCCCACACAGATTTAACCTTCAATCAAGCTCTCGAACGACTTTGGAGGAAATTTAATCGATGGAAAAGGGTTTTGGATCGAGAGAATCGAAGAAATTTTGAGAAAAATGAATTTTCAAACCCTAAACCCCCTTTTAAAACTCCTCTGGTCGCGACACTCTCGCCACAGCGAGGGGACCTCACTGCAGTGACACGCCCTCTTGTTACAATAAAAATTTTAAAGAAAATTGCACTCTGATTTCTACAGAATCTCGCTACAGCGAGACCCTCTTGCTACAGGCAGATTGCTCTTAGAAATGCGCTCCAAACTGTCGCTCTGTCGCTACAGCAAGAAGGTGACAGATGCATGCATTTTTCCTAGTATTACACCCCCTTAATCTGTTTTCAGCATTAGAAAATCCAATCCAATCATATATACACATCTATCCGCACTCATATGCATTTATACACATCACCGTTTAACATTTATTACGCACTCAAGTGTCAATTCCAATATTCAATTACATTCACACACACACACACACACACACACACACACACACACACATATATATATATATATAACAATAATCAAGGTTACAAAAATTCAGAGTGTTACACAGACTTGCTTAAAATAGTCTCGAAGCACATGCATAATGATTTTAGAAGCTTCTCTACACCTTGAATATAAGGAGGAATCAGTCATATTCCTAATATACCTTTTCTCATTGGTAAGCAACTTACCATAGGCAAATTTCCATATGAAAAACACTATTTTAGAGGGCCCTTGCCACTTCCAAGCAGATTTAAAAATCTTCTAGTTTGATTAGTCTTAAAATAAATATGGTATGCAGACTTCATAGAAAAAATGTCATTTACTGTTAATTTCCAGAAAACATAATCAAGACCTTTTGACTAAGCAAGAAGAATAATTTTAGATATATACTAACAAATCTGGGGAGGGAGCACAAAATTTATTTTGTCCAAGTCTCGGCCACTCTTATTAGAAAAAAGGGAAATAGGAGAATCAAGATCAATGTTAGAAACTCGAGATAAAGCAACAATAGATAACTCAGGCATTAGGGAACACCAATCATCTTTCCAAAACTTATAGTCATATCATCCCCAATTATCCAGCCTAAACACTATTAAATTTGCATAGAGGAATTCTAAATTACTAGATTACATGTATTTGACTAATAAAAAAAGTACTTTTAGAGTACTTTAGAATTTTATGTCAAATATAAGAAATTTTAAATAACATGTCTTTAGACAGAATTTAAAATATCTTTTGTTATACTTAATTTTTTCTAATTATCATTCATAATTTTTCTCATATTTTAATCATCCTTCCTTATCTGAAATTCTAAAATTCTCCATCAAACATAGTATAAAATTTGTCACATCTTTTTAGTCATTCTTTGAATCACCTTAAAAGAAGGCAAGAGTCATTCATTTATTGCCAATTTGATCTCACAAATACTAAAAAAATAACTATTAAAGGTTAAATATTTTAGGTCAAAATCAATTCATTGATTTCATAAAATATTTTGAATTTTTCATAAACGTCTTTTGCAAATTTCTATTATAAGTCTATTGGCAAACACATATATTGAAACTTACGTTGTTTCAAAAGGACAAAAATTTCCTTGCAAGATATAGTAATTTTCAACATCTTGAAAGTTGAATTGCATATAGTTGGACAGTAAAGAATCAAATTTTTAGTG